CCGCAGCACTGTCTCCCACGCTGCCCAGGGCCGGGAGGCTGGATGCGGAGACCGCAGTTCCTTCTGTTTCTTTGTTCCTTTGCTGCATCTTGTGCCCCTGCCGAAGACAAGGAGGAACCATTTGTTAGATTAAAGATAAGCCGTCTTCAGAGGCTTAGCAAGGAATATCTTAAAAAAAAAAAAAAAAAAAAATGCTCACCCCAGGTTGTGTTCTTATTGATTTTAGAGAAAGAGGAAGGCAGAGAGAGAAACATTGATGTGAGAGAGAAACATCCATGGGTTGCCTCCCGCACGCACGCTGCCTGGGGGATTAAACTGCAGCCCAGGTGTGTGCCCTGACCAGGAATCAAACCCGCAACCTTTGGGTGCATGGGACTCTGTTCCAAGCAACTGAGCCACCCGGCCAGGGCAGGACTATCATTTTAATCTAGTTGTTGTCCCTAATCTAAGTGGAGGGATACTTCCAAGACCCCCAGTGGATGCCTGAAACCCCAGATAGTAACCCAACCCTATATATACTATGTTTTTTCCTATACATGCATATCTGTGATAAAGTTTAATTTATGAACTAGGCATAGTAAGAAGTAACAACAATTACTAATATAAAATAGAATAATTATAGCAATATACTGTAATAAAAATTACGTGGATGTGGTCTCTCTCTCTCTCAAAGTATCTGGAATTTCCATTTAACGTTTTCAGACCACAATTGACAGCAAATAACTGAAACCATGAAAAGCAGAACTGTGGTTAAGTGGGACCACTGTACAGCCATTTAAATGTTTCCCACCCCTCAAACAGGCCTAGAAATGTCTTATTGGACTATCAAAGAACTTTGGGTATCTAAGATGTAATTGTCAGCACACGCTATCTTTAAAAAGCATATTAATCACTGTTTAATAAATTCACGCCCATCGACCGCTTGCTTGGGCTCGTGGGGATGATTAACCCCAGGGCACATGTGGGAGGCAACCAATCCATGTGTATGTCTCTTCCTCTCTCTCCCTCTCTCCCTCCCTCCCCTTCCACTCTCTCTAAAAATCAATGGAAAAAATATCCTCAGGTGAAGATTAACAAAAACAAACAAAAAATATTGTGAACTCATCTTCAGATACTTTTTCTTCTGTGGGAATTCCACGTGATGGTTTCACGTTTCCATCTGCTTCCTGCGCCAGGGATAAGACTGATCTATAATCAACTATAAATTAATTTCTGCGTATGTTACTGTAGGACTTTGGATGGCATGAATTTGTTTCAAACTCATGGTGCATCTGTTTTCTACTTTCTAGGGGAGCCTTTTTCTGTCTCCATGCTGCACCCTGTCTCCTTGTTCATTTCTTGAGCTGAGAGTCCCAGATGTATGTTTGTAGTCGTATCAGCTCCAGCTTCCTACCCTGAGTGGCTCAAGGTCCCAGGTGGCCATTAGAACCCAGTCCCCAGCCGTGGGGCCTATTTCTGCATCAGCAACTGGTCTGTAGCCCTGAGGGTTGAGTATCTCTAGCTCACCAGATTGTTGTTTTGACTTCCACATTCCCCTTTACCCCTGGCACCAGTGGGTACAAAGGGGCCACCTGCTAACCTCACTAGCTCAGGGGGGGCCTGCTTGGCAGCCTTGCAAACTCAGACACCTAAAGTAACCACAAAGGATGCTCTGAAATTTTTTTAAATTAAAATGCAGTTTATGGTGGGTAGTCATGTCCTAGGTGGGTCTCTTCCCTGACAAAGGTCAATCTTTACCTTAACTGAACCTGTCTATTGTCTTTTTGCATCTACGATAATGTATCGTTGGAAAGCCAAAGTAATTTTCCTTTTTCCAGGCCCCTCAAACACAGGCACTGCTCTGCGGAGACCACAGATCCCCTCACTGTCGTTGAGTTAATTGTTGACTGTTAATTACCCTGCACCCACCTAAATAAAAGAAGTGTGTGCCCATTATTTTACTTTTTATCCAATCCTAGAGGTCCCCCTGCCCTGTCCCCCCTAGTGGATTTCAAGTAACCCACTTATGTCTCCCCCTTTCATTATAATGCATAAAACAAGGTGCAAAACTGCCATCCTCTGAAGTATTATCTCAACCCATTGAGATTCTGCTTCCCGGCATTTGTCGCCAGTTTGGTTCAAATACACTCACAAAAATTCCTCACAGGTTTGCATGTTTCTTATGTTAACACACCTTTGTTTTTATGTCAGTTGAGCTTTGTACTTTAAAATATGTTTGTTATAGTTTATCTCTCATTTATAAGCACTTGTGTGGGAAGAGTCCTGCATTACTCCCACTGTTTCGGTTACCTGTGGCGAGGTTACAAACAATTCCAAAACTTAGTGGCTATAAAGACCAATTATTATTTCTCATGATTCCATAATTTGGCCTGGCCTCAGCTGGGAAGTTCATCTGCTCTGGGTGGTATCTACTAGGGCCAAAACATCTTCAAAGAAGGCCTCCGAGTTTCTCTCTGTGTGGGCTTTGTCATTCTATAGAAGAGCCTGAGCTTCACACAAGGTGGCCGGATTCCAGGAGCAAGCATTCTGAGTGAGCAAAAATGGAAGTTACAAGGCCTCTTAAGGCCCAAACTGGCAGCCACACACCCCTCCGCCTGCCACATTTCTCCGTAGTTCTTTAGTTCCATAACCATCCTTACATGCCCTCAAATACTTATTAAAAATTATTTTTACCTTTGCAGAGTGTTCTACTTATTCATTATTCCATCCCCTTATTGTTGTGAATGCTAGTCCTAATTTTTCACAATTATAAATTATACAGCACAAAACATTTCTGTATTATGTCTTCGATTTTTATAATTCTAAATCAATTTCACTGTAGTTCTTTCATTTCCTTGAAGGTATGATACACAGAACTGAAGCCTAGGTTCTTTTCTCCTGTTAAACTACCAGGGAACCTCTATAAACACAACTGAATAAATATTTCTATAGTAATCAGTGGAGTTCCTCAGGTCAGACCGTTCTCTGTGACAACTGTGTTAAAAACTCACTATTGTTGGAGGAGCGATGTGGTGTCATCAAAGAATTTGTACTGGGAGTGTGTAAACTTCCATCCATCAGCAGTGACCCTGGGTAAGCCACTTCTCTTCCTGGAATTGAGTTTCCTTAAACTAATTTTGACCTTTAAGTTTTGACAATTTACTCATTTGGATAAAGGTATAAATTGGTGTTTATGGTCAAGGAAAATATTTTGACATCTACCACAAAAAACAGATTTGCCCTGGTACTCTATCTGGAAAATGATCACACAGGAAAACAAGAGTGTCTGTTAGAAAAAAAACCTAGACAAGAAGTCACAGTTGGTTGCCAGCTAAAGGGCAAAAGGTAAGGCGACGCTGAAGAACTTGTATTTAAAATGTTCAGGTTTAGTCTCGCTTCATTACTTTTTAATGGAAACTTCTCTACCATATCATTTTTGCAGTTTAGCAGGATATTTAAAATCCATGAGTGAGGTGAACAATAACAATAGAAGAAATGTCTTTAGGTCATGTTTGCATGTGTTTATCATTTTTAGCAGTCCTATGCTATACGTGCATTATGCAAACGCTCTTAGATTTAGTTTTAAATCATGTTCAAGATCGTGATGGGAAGGACGGATGCGTGTGTATTTTCACGCCTTCTCCAGCGCTACCCTGCTGTGATGCAGGAGCTCGAGAGTCACCTGCAGCATGGCCTCCGGGGGTACAGAGACCCACT